TGTCATGTAAACAATGTAATCGAAAGTTATAACGTTTTCATAAGAACGTGACTCAAATTCCGAGGCTTTACGGTCGGGGTCGGGATAAGTACCGCAATATTTACGACCGAGATGCTATCATTTCACGATATGTAAGTATTTAGATGTGCATACGTATAGGTAAAAAGCCTTACGTATTGTCCATAAAGATTGTTCGCTTTAATACCTATACCTATACATAGTTCATCACCAGGCTACAATCCTTTTATCCAGCTGTAGAATCCATTAATACCAAGGGCTTTTCAGGACAATATTTTCGAATGAAAGTTTTAAATGTTATGTAGTTCGAAATTAAAACTGGAAGGAGCTAGTCGTTCGCCCTGTACACGTATCCGCAGACTTGAAAGCTCAAAGACCCATTACAATGATACGAATAAGGCAATCAAATAACAATAACCAGACGTGTCGGTGTAATTAAGGTAAATACGCCAGTCTAATAATACTTCGAATTCCGGCTAATTAGCCGCGTTATATTTCTTTAGCGGATTGGCTGCAATAAAATCCGAAGGCAATTAATTCGCTTATTTGCTGTATTCGCGCCAGACCGCCGCGTGCAGGATAAACATTCGAGTCACATAATTTGCGTTCATGAAGAAGTGACGAATAAAATAAATACAGCGATTCGCTCTTTTCTTGTAAAATTCTATCGCGAGCACAAAACTGGCCGCGCTCGGAATTCCAGATGCGATGGCGTTGATTCGCTCGCCCAGAGTGCTAGTTATGATTGCTTGTTTCATGCAGATGGCATGGCGGAAAATGAACTTTATTTCGTTCGCAGGAATTTTCATTCAATATTTTCTATACGAAGTGGATAACTTTAAAATTAGAGCGTTGGTAATTTCTATTTCAATAACTACCTACCTAATGTTTCTTTCAGAAGCTCTCGGTGAGTCGACAAGAAATTTGGCTAATTTTGTAAGGTTTATTGAAGATTTTTGTCAACATTTACTGCTAATTTAAGAGACAGAAATCAAGCAAATAGCTCCTCTTAATTCATTCTTGTTAAGAAGTACTTACGTACGAATTAATGGCATAGGTAATGCTCGATAGTGCATGCATACCTAATAAAGATATATGTGGAATTAACGATAAACTCGTTGACCTATCGTTTGTACAATTACATTTTCCCCGCTGAGCGAAAAGGATCTATTAAAACGCCGTAGCGGAGTCTAGTGGCCTTTTAACTCGATGCCTTGCCATCCACTTAAATGTTCTATTCAAACAATAGATCGAAATCAGCCCCCCGATCTAGAGTGCGCGCGTTTTTTTAACAACTGTCAATAAATGGAAACAATGAAAAGACGTGACCGGCCAACTTGCTTTAAATAAGAATGTCAATAATGATTTCCAATTGGTCTTCATATTGTTATTGTCGGAGTTCCTGTGTATGTAGAGTCACGTCATGGCGTGTTTACCCATCGAGGAATAGGTATAGAATTAGAAAAAAAACATTACAAACTCGTTTAGGTAGTATTTTTGAAGGGTTATGATGTTACCTACACATTTAAAGAAGCGTGGAAAATTCCCCAAAAAATGAGAAATTTTTAAGTATCCAATACTACTTCTTATTGAATCTATACTACTATCTAACAGCAGCCATCTATTCTTTAGATACCATTTTTAATATATATTATTCCTAAACTCCTCTAACGTTGTTGGATTGTTGGCATAAACCTTCGACTAGGTAACCCCATAAAGAGAAAATCCAAGTGCATCAAATCGTATGAACGAAGTGGCCATTTGAGTGGACCATTTCTCGAGATTAAACGATTAAACCAAATGAAAATTTGATACAATTAATCGATCGCTGCCGTAGGTCTCATAGTGGTGGTCATCTGGAATAAATTTCTCTTTGTATTTTATTTAAATCCAAAATTGCTATGTTCTTATTGAAAAACCCTTTACTAGTTCAATTTCTAACCACCATATAGTCTATCTTTATACAATGTGTATGTTTCCACAGAACGATTTAATTTCGAGCGGATTGCTCCTTTTACGGTTTCGTTCGCCAAACATTAATAAAGATCCTATCTGGAGAATTAACCGACCGTTCTCGCCTGCTCGCACTTTCGTTATTGCAACCAGTTCGTTTTTTTACATTTCCAAAATTAGTTTCATACCAAAGAACGCCAATAATACAGTGATTCGTCGGGTAGACGCGCCGCGATAAAATCCCGAAACAGATATTATACCCGAGACAATGTCGTTGCGGAAAAAAGGACAAAAATTTTACTTCCGACTGTAACAATAGAAAGTCAGATTTGGTTTCTTATCGGATAAATGTAGCACGGTAAAACCAAAACCGAAACATTTTTTGTAGCTCCTGAAATACTTTTCTACTAATAATAATTATTAACTGTACACGATAAAATAGGAACTAGGACTCCTGGTAATTTTTCTACGGAAACTTTAATTTCCCTATAAAGAAGATAAAGAAAAGGATTAGTGGATTGTTTGATTTGACGTAATTGGACATCATACTGGACATTATTGAATAAATATTCATAAATAACATTTGTTTATAAGATAAGAAGCATCCTTCTGTGTATAAGTAGACATTATACTTATATCTCTAAAACGTAAAATAAGAATCGTTATTTTGATCGCATGTTGGGCAAATAGTCATAAATTTGTTAACTATCTTAATTAATTTAATACATTCGACTGATATGAAAGGATTAATTGATGAGTAGAACCGTGAGAATAGTAAAAACAGTCGCTGAAAGTGAACTTTAAACCGAATTAAGTCTTATCGACTCGAAAATTTCTATATAACGCTTTTATCGACGATAAATCCCTCGGATTCGATTCGACAGTTACCGATTTCAATTAATTTTATACACGCTTAATGCCCGTAAACGATAGGACGAGTTTCTGATAAACAAATAAAAGTCGCTTTTGTAATTTTTATTTTTATTGTTATTAGGTAAATTAAAATTATGCGGACGATAATTTTATCAAGTCATTTCAAATTACTAGGTAGATGATAGAAATTGGGTGGAAAATTCGGAAATACTGTAGCAAAAATGGGCGACGGCAAGTGCGATAAAATTATTACCGAGACGATTATTGATCAAATTTTGAAGCAGACGTGAATTAAATGTTGATGATTCACTCCCACGTCGCCCGTAATGATTGCGGATTGTGAACAAGCGTAAATGGCTGCGAGAAAGGTTGTAAAATTATTGCCAGGGTAGTTAAGCCACCTACGCGTCCCAACCGGATGTCTTTCTGTATACGATAAACGCATTTAGGCTGTTCAAAAACCTCTCTGAATTTTCATAGTGTTTAAATTGCCTAGAAAATTAAAGATGCAAACTATATTGGCGACAATTTACCGCGCCTTATTATTTTTAATAACTCGTTTGTCTGCATATGGATAGGGCATTTTCTAACTATAAATGATTTTCAAAAAGAGTATATAGCAGAAAATAATTAGAAAATTTATAAGCAGTTCAGAAATCAGAGTATATGTATAAGAGTATTTAAAAGAATAGGGTTTGTATTTTTAAGCACAATTCGAATTCATTTCAATCGAATCGGATTTTTGTTATTTGATTTTCGAAGCTATCGTTAACATAATTCTCTTGACAATATTGTATTCCAAATACAAAAGCAATATGTTTGATTTACAAATTGCCTTTGGGACCTTTATAGCAGGCTCGGATTAGCCCAGTTGGTTTGTAAGTCATCTAACTGTTTGGGTATATTTACGAGTTCTTGATGTAAAATATGCGATTACGGTGTGTAATATTTTTTCGTTTTGAGGAATATTTTAGAAAAGTCATTTTGACATTCGCAATCTTAAGCAGACAATAAAACGATCATCGAATATAATTACGATAAACCTACCAGAAACGTACACGTAATTTATCGTAAAACCAATGTTATGTGCACGTATGAAAATGAAATATTAAACGAAGGTGTTTCAGATCGTTATTAGTGATTTATGGAGTGGCTGGTCGTTTTATCTTCGGTCGTGTAATTGTCTTGTACAATCGCGCCCGTTTCCTCGTTTCCATATAAAGCCGGCGGAGCCGTTAAATTCGAAAATTTAACGTCCGAGTCCCGGACGGGCGGGATTTTTCCAATTCCCGACCTGTCGGCGTTATTAACTCCGGCCGAAAATTGCTACTAACCGGGAGTCGTAGAGACGCGACCCCTATCAGTGACCACTCAGCATCCTCGGGCCCCGGGGGGCTCGTCAACTTTACCCCCAGTGTTTGGTTACGCCTTATTTGCCGATGGTGATCTTGACTCTCTGCGAGTTTCATTCGAACTATATAACTCTCTATACTCGATAAATTGTATACGAGCAACGCTGATTTTGAGTTCAAAGGATGAACAAGACCAAAAAACACTCTTGAATGTATCTACATTACATTTTATATTACAGTTGGTCCATCCTAAATTTTACAGCACTAATGAAACCTGCTCAAAATACTCCAAAATCACTTCATTGAAAACACCCTGATGTATATGGTATTTTCTCACAATATCAATCAGACATTTAGTTATAATAACAATCTATTATTTACCTACCAATTATTTTTCTGATCTATTAATTATATTATTAAGCTACTTATTATCTTACTGGCTATACCCACGTCTGAACCTTTATGACTTCTCAGAAATTAAGTTGTCACATTCTGAGCGAGCCCGTTTATTTTCATTGCTCGAAGTTCTCCGGTAATAATTCTCGACGAGTTAATCTCCCAGTTTAATCCCCAGAAGGCCGGATCATTTGAAGATTTACAACAAAAACTATCTAATAAAGACCGAAATAATTTCGTGGCGCTTCTAAATATACATTTTTATGAGCTATCGAACCATCGCCCGCGCCCGGATTCCCGCACGGGCAACATCCGACTCGATATAAACTGGATTCTTCGTCGAAGAACAGCGTTTCGTCAATCGGGGATTAAGCTACAGTCGGCGGGATTAATCAATGGAACACTTACGTTTGCATGCCCTGCGATGAGTGATTGCCCTGTTGGGATCCCTGTAGAATCCCTCGCGACAGTAGTGGCAGTGTCTTCCGGCCGTGTAATGGCGGCATTTCAAGCAAACACCTCCTGACACCCTGCCGCTCAGCTTGTACAGCTCCATGTTGAATCTGCACCTGCGTGCGTGCTGGTTGCATTCGCAAGCTGCAAAAAAATCAAAAAAATAGATCAAATTCGTGTTCATTAAAAGCGAGCATTTATGGTACCAGCGGACATGTATATGAGGCCAGCGGTCATTTATACGCGGCCGGCGGGCATGCGGTATATTTCGATTTTTAGGTATACCTAAAATCGGATAGGCGGTAGATTATTCACGGTCGTAAAAATATTAATGGCAATAATGGGGCCCCCGCGCGAGACTTTACAGGTGTTGGGCAATTTCCCATTACCATTCTGGCGGCGATAAATCAAATGGGTTCGCGGGTTCGGAATTAGAAACTGACACTCGGAGCTTTCTCTCATCGGATGTAAGTCGGTGTTTTTTTCTACCGATTCTTGCGACGTTGTAGATGGGATGTTCGACCGGGAGGGATTAAAAACGAATTAAAGTTTGTGGAGAAAGGGGCGATGGTGATTTATCGAAAGCGATTAAAGCGGGTTTTAATAGATTTATGCTCGGATTTAAATTAGAAACTTTCCTCGCGTGCAACGGAATTTTGTTAGATTCGCAAAAATCAATCAACCAATAAAACAAAACAATGCAATAGTAGATAATCGCGTCATCTAGCAATTATTCCCATCTACCCCCGAGTCAAACCAATTTTATTGTCTAATAAACACCGATTGATTAAATTAACTTTTAATTCGCCCGCAATTAAATCGACAATCGCGCATAAACGCAACAGGTTCTAAGCGGAACGTAACGCAAGTACCAGCGAGTACCCGCCCGTTTTCGATTTATGCTAGCTCCCAGCCAAAAGAGTCAATTAAACCGAGGCGAAATTGCTACCCGCAGAGGTCCGGCCGCGAAAACGCCTATGCATACCGCATAGAAACGAGAACGAACCCCCGCGCACGCCGCTGGCTCGCATGTGGGGCTGACATCGCCTGCGGCGCGATGCTTCTCTCGGTTCGCAGGATCAGGGACGGCCAGGAAGCGGTTTGTCTCCTGGTATAATCGAAAGAAAATATCGAAACGGATTAATTAGATGGGCAGATAATACACTAGTAGGAAAGAAGGGGATGATATTTGGGTACTAGGAAGATAATATGAAGTCCATTTTTGTAGAAGTTAAATCAGCAGGATCCAAAATGTAGCTTGAAACTTGAAACCAACATCAATTCAAAGAACAAAAATAATGGGGTTTCTAAATATCTAAACCGGTCCTGTAAGTGTTAAAGTAAAAATCCTTAAATTCAATCCGCTTGTAGCATATTATAGCTATCATTATCTCTTATCTAGAATGTAAAATAACGAAGTGCGAGCGTTAATTTGCCGCGAAATTTAGCAACGCCACTGGAATATATCTGTAGCAGGCGATGTAGCCTCGAGGGCAGCAGGAGAACATTCTATCCTGGTTCTGACATGGCATTATATTCATACCGCTCTCCCGATCGGGTAATCCAGAATTCCTAAATATTCCGCCGGAAAAATTATTTATTTTTAATGCGAAGAGCGTATCTTACAGCGAAATTTAGATGGATGGAAATGAGTCTGTCTATATTGAAGTAGAAAAAAAATGCGTTTTCAAAGTAACTTCAAAACTCTACTGTTGTTTTATCAAATCACTAGAGAGGTTATAATCACTAAAATGGAATTAGCATAGCAAATAGTATAGAGGATTATTCAATGATCCTATATGATCTTTTTGTGGCGTCATCAACAAGTGACACTAAAACGAATTGAGCAACCCTGGATAGCAAAGTTTCCTTGATGAGAATAAAGCGTAAGTAATAAGGATATTACAAGATCAGTTCTGATAAAACTACTGAAGTTAACAAGAAGCCAAGTTCTTAAGATTTGTGAAAGTAAAAAAAAACATCTTTATTATCTCTTACAACAAATGGTGTGTATGCGTTTGAACACCCTGTAGGATATTCACCTGAAAACCAGTTTGAGAACTTACCGTAAGTGTTATATGACATTCCGAATACGATAAATATGTTAATTGCCGTGGAACATGTCGAGAAAAATGTATATTTCAGCTAAGACTTCTACCGTATTGATATCGGATATTATCTTGAGGAAGTATGGTATAAATTGCTTCAATTTATACGTCTCAATATCAACTATTCCTCCTAATGGACGTGTATTCAATTTCACATTTCTCGAAAATTCTTACCGATCACGTTCCGGATCGGATTTTTAGATAAACTCCACTATGATTTACTTCTTTAATAGATCCAGCAAAGTGGATAGATTAAAATTAATAGCGATTAATCAATAAAATTTCTAGCTCTGTTGTACGTTGCGTACGCGTACACATGCATACGTTCGTACCCCGGGGAATTGACCGAACGAAAAATACATCGACATCATACAAAACGCGCTTCCATTTTTAAATATCATCATTTATTTATGCTTTGTTGCTCGACTGCGTTTATGGAATCTAATTCAATCCAATTGAATTATTAATGGTTACAAGTCAAGCAGGTGAAACGTTTCTGATAAAATAAAACTCTGAAATAGTATAGAAAACGTGCCGGTTGATAACTGAGTTTAGTTTCTGCTAAACTTTTTACCCAAAGGGATTTTTTTAGATGGTGAAATTTCGAAAAGTTTTAACACCTCATTTCTCGATCAATTTCAACATATTTTTTCAACAATTGAGTAATTTTTGAAAATTGTGCCTCTTATAAAGCAGTTATTAAGTAACATCAACAGTTACCGCTTATTACCATTAATTAGCAACTTTAAATAAAAACTTTGAGCAAAAATTCAAACGGTAATGAAAAGACCCATAAACATCGGTTTAACGACAACAAAAATTCCGGTTTAATTTCGTATTTACCCGTTAATTGCTCCGTATTTATAATAAAATATAACGCTCGGTTCTAATTATAAATGAATAATACCATCTCGATTTTATGATCAAATATCGCGTGTATTAAGTGTTTAATCTCATAATGAATGAGGTGTAACAAACTGCGTAGGTTGGAACAAGTTTGGCGCGTCAACACTTGCCCGATATTTAGATATAACATAAACTCGGAATCGGAAAGGAACGTAAGTGCATCTAGTGTCACTAAAGGGCATTTTTACCATACACTTTGCTGTCCTCGCGATGGGTTAATTTGCATATTAATTAATTGACTTTAATATGGAAATTCCAGTGAATTAGGAGATGGGGGGTGGGCGTTCTCACATTCACGAATATACTGAAGAAGTTTATAAAAGGCTACATTTGTTTGAAGTGAAACACGAAATTATTTTTTGTAATGATTATTTAAAATGTGTTATAAATACTGATGAAAATTCATGATATAGCGGATGAAAATTTCAAATAGAAAGTAGCACAAATTCTCGGATAATAATTTACGCAATTGCAGATAGGCTTTTTTCAAGATACGCCAATTAGAATTCTACGTTAATTAAAGACAAAATTAATGAAACGTGATTAACAAAGGACTTATTGATTGATTAATATTCGAAGTAGCAATTTCAGACGGTGTAATAACTAAGTTAAACGACGTCAAATGTCTAGCTAAAATCTGCAATATTGTACATTTTTTCAATAACTTGTAGTAACTTTAATGAATAACCAATAAAGCTTCAACCGATTGACTAATTAAACGTTGAATTAAAAAAGTTTATTAAACGAACTGAATAGTTTCTTTATTAAAGTAAGAAAGTTCTGGAATAATTTTGGAAGAAATTGAATGTGATTTATAGGCTATATATCGAAGGATAACTCGCTATTTGATATTCATCAGTGATATTCAATTTTTCTTTGATTCACACAACGGATGAAACGATTGCACGCCCATGTGTGAGCTCATAAAGCGGATTTTTAAGCATACGAATGAAACAGGTGCAGTGGATAAGCTACATCAAATATGTACAATAATGCCATTTAATGCGTTTTCGCGACTAACGCGAAATGCTACTAATGGCCGGCGTTTTGTTAGCTCGTTCGACCGTATAATTATTGCGACTTGGTAACGAAAAAAAATGGAAAACTCAATTTCACTTCTGTGACAGGTTTAAACGATTCGACACGAAAATTAGTTTTATGTCACCCATTTAGTTTTCGAATTGGGCGAGATTTGATTTCGAATAAAATCCAACAAAAATTTTAAAAGGATATTCATTTTTACATTTAATATTAACTGTAGCTGATTTACTTAAAAAACCTACGAGGTAATAAATGTAATAAAAATTGTAACTTAATCAACATCCTGTAGGTACGTTGAAGTGAAGTTGTAACTGTAAGTATACAAGTAGAAGAAGGAATAATTTTATTTTATTACACTAAAACGAAATCGAAACTACACAGCGATAGGAAAACTACCGCTTAATTTCGACCATTCTCGTTTCTTTCCAATCAACGCTGGCCTAATCGAATGTCGGATTCTCCTCTTTCTGGCGGCCATCGCACGTACTAAAACTCTGGAAACGAAGTTAACGGTTGATTTATCGCGCGCCGGCGATATAGAAAAAGACCGCTGACGAAATCGTTTCGGTGGCGAATCGAATCGAAAATAAGGAAACGGCCCCGAAAGGAAGCTCGAGAAACCTTATCTCTGCTGCCGGTACTATCCACCCCGATTTCGAGAAACAGCGATCCGAACAAATTGTTTCATGTTTAAGGTTTGGTATGTTTTTATATACACATATTCCGACATAGTGTAACACATTGATTTTATTAAGAGTTATTGAATATTTGTATACGTCATAGAGTATACATATGCTATCATACTTCTATGGGCATTTATATCCTATTTACCTAAATTTAATAGTAAAACCCTTCTAAAAGGATACACCACTGATGGGACTAGTTTCCTATATGATGTATAGTTTACTGCATTTTGTGTATATTGCAAAAGACAAAGGACTTCTACAATATTACATATTGAACAAGAATATTACATTACTTTTCAAAAGACTTCTTCTATGCAACTTTGTTGTATTCTGTTACTAACAAGGACATTTTTTATCAATCACAATGTCTATATGCACGTTCAGTACATTTAAGTACATCATT